CGGGGCCGGCGGAGCCAGCGGGCGACGGGAGCGAGCCAGGTGAGGCGCCCGAGGTCTGGGGACCCGCCCCCTGGACCCGAGCCGCGACCCCTGAGCCGGGCCGGGCCTCCCCGGGGCCCCTGAAACCGAACCAGCAACCCAGCTTGGCACCCCCAAGCTCGGGCCCCGCCAGGAGCCGGCCGGACCCCCGAACGCCGCCCCACAAGCCGAGTAAGGCCCGGGTGACCTCAGCATCCCACCTCCCGTCTTGACCCCCACGTCCGAGCCTCCCCCCAGACCAGGCCCTGCGTGACCTCTCCAGCTCGAGCCACTTGCAGGCTGCGACCTCCCCAGGCGGTCAGCGTCCCTGTCCTTTAATAAACAGCAGGTCGAGCTCTGACCCCCCCCACGGGGGCCTCCCCACTCCGCCCCCCAGAACAGCGGGCCGACGCCCTCATCTGTGCTCCTCATCGCTGGCCTGTCAAACCCGGGTCTCCCAAGTTCGGACCATCGCAGCTCGGGCCCTGCCCGAATTGAGACTGCCTCCCGCCCAGAGCTGTCACGACTCCCCCAGTCTTGAGCAAGCTCCCGCCCCCCGCGCGGATAAGACACAGTCTGAGCTTTGTGGACCCTGGCGCAGCCAGGCTGAGGTGCGGAGACCCTGTCCGTCTGGACTCCCCATTGTACTCACCGCGCCCCTCCGCTCCTGGCACACAGAAGCACTTAGGCGACGAGTTTTGAATACATAAGTGTCCCCCTGGCTCCCAGCCCTTCTAGTTTCTGCTCCCCAACCCTCACAGCTGGACCCGTTCTGGCCGTGACCCACCCATAATCAGGCTCTCCCGTCTTGGCACTGACCCCACCAAAATCTGAGACAGCCGCCTTCCAGTGTGCGACCATGCTGTGTCTTCCTCCAAGTACAAGCCTGGCCACCCCGGATCCCCCAAGTGTGGCACATTCACCTCGGCACAGCCATTTTCCCCAGCTAAAAACTGATTCTCACCATCCCCCTGCCCCGCCGCCCCCCCACCGTCTAGACCTGCCCCAGCTCAAAGCCTGAGTCCCACTGTTGTGCAGATACCCGGCCTACACCAGTTTTATTTTTCCTTGTTCTCTTTCCCCTAAAATCATCCCTTCTTTCAGGGTGTCTGTCAGACCGGGAACTAGATTTCCCCCTCCCCGCCCCCACCCTAGTCCACTGAGCGATGACCTCATGCCTCACGCTGGTGAGGCTGCACCCCACCAGCCGCCGGTCACCTCTTACCATACTTTGAGCAAGAGCACTTTACTAAAGAAAAATGATCCGCCCAGTCCTTACGCAGCCGTCCCCTGCCACATCTACCCTCCAGATCAGAGACAGGTGGGAGGGTCTTTAAAATGAACAAGGTTGGCTGTTCTCTCCTGGAGATGGGGGCGGGATTTGCAGCCTGGAAGCTGAGGAGATCCTGGAAGAGCCGTGGGTGGTGGGACAGTCCCCAGAGTGGTGCATGTCCCCCCTAGAGCACTGCATGTCCACTAGGCCGAATGTCTTGTGGGCCGTCGTGGCCTTTGACGTCGAAGGCCCCTCCTGTTTTGGCTGTGCTGGGCTGGTGTTTCTTCAGAACTCAAGAGGGGAGGCAGGTGTGCTGGCCTCCTTCTGGTGCTTTGCATACCAAATATGGTTGGATTGCTCCAAGAGGGTTGTGTTAAGGGTACAGGATCTTCCCCTCAAAAAACTGGGGCTCGGGTCCTTGGACAGCTCTGGGCTCAAAGGACAGTTGCTTTGCCATGGTCGGGGCTGCGTCTCACGTGACTATGCTGGCCCACTTGCTGCCACAACTGTTTCCCAGGAAGATCTCGGGGTCTGGGCCCTGCTGAGGGTGTCTGTCTGGGACTGGGCAAGGGGACCTGCAAGGCTGATGAGTCGTCACAAGTGGGTCCTCAGTTCTAACAGGAGGCCTCCCGCCAGTGATATTTACTGGGGCCTCTGGCCGGGCAGGCTTTGTATACCCGGGACTTCTGGGTTTGGGGAGACCTAGAGTGAGGGTTGGTTGTGGAGACCTTTGGCTCAGTGTCACTGAGAGGGACAAGGATCCGAAGCTATTCCATCTGGAGGGCTGACCCTCAGGATTCCTGGCTAGCGCCGAGGTCAGTGCACTTGGTCTTTAAGAAACCAGCCAGCTCGCAGCACTCTTGTAATTATTCTCTTCTGAGCAGAGGTTCTCAACCCGGGACACTGGTGGTGTCTGGGGGCACCTGGCATCGAGTGGATGTGGCCTGGGAGGCTGCTCCACAACCCCTGGTGCCCAGAACTGTCCTCCGCAAAGAACGGTCTGGCCCTGAATGTCGTCAGTGCTGAGGGCACAGATCTGGACCAGAGTCCAGATCATGAGGCCTGTGAGTGCAGGGACTCTGTCCCCGGAGCCTGCGTGGTGCCTGTGCGGCTGAAGCTGGAGGCTGCTGGCTTGAGTCAGTGCTGGGGGCTGGCCCAGGGAGCTGGCAGCCTGTGGAACTGGGAAGGGAGTATTTGGCCACCCCTTTTCTTCCCCAAGAGCTCCCTGTCGTCTGGCTTCTGCTCCATCCCAGGCCCCAGTGGCTTCTGGCCTGTCATTGCCACTGGTCATGGCCCTGCCCACCCTTCCCTGGCCTCCCCGAGACTTTGGCTGCTGTGTGGCCTGCCTGATGCAGTCAGGGTTGGGTGTTTGAGCACAAGGCCCCCCAGTGTGGCACTGACAGTCTCGACCTGACATTGTGCCCAGCCGTGTGTCCTGTGTCTTTGGCAAGTGACTCCTTTATCCTACCCCAGTGTCATCAGGTGTGAACGGAACGAGAGGATGCGCTGTGCCTCCTCTGGCCTGGCTCCAGTTTGTCATTCAACTGCTGTGCACTACAAAGCGTAGACGATGGAGTCGCCCTTCTGGCTTCTCGCACATCCCGTCTGTCCTTCAGTCTCCTCCACTGGCCCTTTCTAGTATAGTGTCTTATTTGTTTGTTTTTGTTGGTAACAGCTTTTTTCAGATGTAATCGTCATGCCCTACAATCCGCTCATTTAAATTATACAATTCCTTGGTTTTCTGTGTGTTTACAAGGTGTGTCTAGTTCCAGAGCATTTCCCCCACCTCAGAAAGCAGCCCTGTCCCCGTTAGCAGTCACTCCCCATCCCCTGACCTCACAGCCCCTGGCAACCACGAACCCACTCTCTGTCTCTGTCAGTGTGCCTTTTCTGGACGTTTCTTATAAATGTAATCACACACCATGTGGCCTTTTGTGTCTGGCTTTTCTTTCTCTCTGAGCATCGTGTCTTAAAGTTTCATCCACACTGTAGGGTGTGTCATCCCTTTTTTGCAGCTGAATAATATTCCGTCGCGGGGATGGGCCACGGCGTGTTTGTCTGCTCATCGGTGGGCAGACCCTTGGGCTGCTGGCATCTTCTGCCTGTTGCGGACAGAGCTGCCAGGGGCAGTCGGGCGCGGGTTCTTGTGGGGTGACTCTCCTGTTGAATCTGGACTCAGATGCCTCTGCATGTGCTCCTTGGTGGCCTACCCCTCACCTTTAGCTTCTTGTCCTCATCTGTTGCTGGTGCCCAAAGCTGGTTCCTGACTACAGGCCCACGTGGCCAGCAGCCAGTCAGTCCTCTCCTTGGTGTCCAGCAGCGAGTCCAGAAAAGGTTCTCTTTCCTCGGACCTGCCTGTCCCCCCTCCCGTGGGCCTCACTTGGGGCCCCTCCTCTCCTGCCGCCATCTCAGGACCACCTCCTTTCTCACCTGGACAAGCAGCACCATCTCTCTGGTCCCCGTGCTCCCTGCTACTCTGCTGGTCTCCACACTGCACCACCGTCGGCCCACAAGTGCTCATCTCATCACGCCCTGTGCCCCATCCCTTTCCTGCCTCCCTGCCACCAGCCGCCCAGGGCACAGCCTGGGAAACTGCCATAGTGGCCTCCCCGCCTTTGCCTCTTCCTGCCCTCAGTGTGCTCCTTGCACCCTCGCCTGCCCAGATCGTTCCTTCCAGATCCCCCCGTGCTCTTCCCCGGATCAGAATGGAACCACTGTGTTGTGACCCTGTTGTCCCTGTCAAGCATGACAGCCACTGAAGGAAGGGTCAGGCTGTATCTGTGCTGTGTCCCACAGTGAGGAGAGGCTGCTTGATGGAGGGGTGGAGGGGTGGTGGGAGCAGGGGGAGGGGCAGCCAGGTGGGTAGGATGTGTCTGTCTGTCTGTCTGCACTCACAGAAGATTTGAGCAGCTGAGAGGTCAGTGCTGGTCTTTCTAGCCAGAGGGAAGCAGCTATTCCCCCCAAGGAGTCCCCTAAACCAGAGGATCTGCCCTGGAGGCAGCATCTGGTGACATTTGTGGTCATCAAGACTTGGGGGGGGCATCAAGTAGGTGAGGCCAGGGATGCTTGCTGGCCCCCACAGTACCCAGGATGCCCCGGACTGAGAGTCAGCAGTGTGGGGTGGGAGAGGGCTGCCCTAGACGTACTAGGCTTTTCCTTCTGCCACCCCCACCTCGGACCCATGGGTGAGAACCACAATGAAGACAGATTGAGGAAGCGCTCCCTGTGAGGGGTGAGCTCCCTGTCACTGTCCCTGCAGGTGTGCAGCGGACAGAGATGTGTGAGGTCTCTGGGCACCTGAGGGGACGTCCAGCCTTGAGAGTCAGGCCTCTGACGTGAGTCACAGCTACGATCACAGAAATGATCATGAGTCATCTGGTGTGATACCAGGTTCTTCGTTTGCGTGGGGTTTGCGTTCTTCGGGCTGCTGCAGACCGGATGCGCTGGCGTCTGAACACTTCACCGGTCGGGCGGGAGCGGGTGCCCTGTGCTCGAGGTGGGGTGAGACACTACGCCTCAGGCGCCCCTTCTGAGGCTCAGGGCAGCGGTCCCGTCCAGGGTGGGCGCCGCCTGCTACCAGCAGCGCGCCCTCGGGGGCGCTGGCGCGGACAGAAGGAAAAGAGGTGTGCTGATGGGACTCTCCTCTGCTCCGGGAGGTGAGCCCGGGCACCAGAGCCCGGCCCCGGCCTCCACGCTCCCGCACCTGCCCACGCGCAGCAGGGGCGGTGAGCTCAGCCAAGTGAATGAG